TTCGCGAGGTCGATGAGTTTACAGTGTCGACACATCACCGGATTGAGCAGGAGATCGGGGGCGCCCAAAGAAGAAAAGTGCACACGCTCTGTATGGGAGCAGGAAGCGGCGTGCACGTGCATAGGAGGGAGTCGGCTGTTCCCTATCCGGCCGACAGGGTGCGCTACTCGTCGCTGCTGCTTGCTATCGTCTCGCCTCGCTAGTGAGTGAAACACACAAGGAAGTGGAGAGAAGCGGAAGTAGAATCATCACCAACAACAACACGGAAAAGCACAGAGACGCTCTAATCTCAGCAGCACCGTAGAAATGAACAATAAAGGCAAGTGTGGACCCAGCGGGTTCCTGTGTGAGGAATACGGGGGATGGCGGGAAGGGGGTCACTGTCACCGGTGTGCGGGGGCGGGAATGCGGATTACGGGTGTCTGGGAAGGGGCACTTATGTAAGGCAGGAAGAGGTGTCGGGAACTGCTTGGCCTGTATGGCGGTCTTCGGCCTACCTCCCATCCGTATACATAAGGACAAGGAGCTCCGGCTAAGTAGCCCGGAGGTGGCTCCCAGCATGCTTTGCGATCAACCTCCCCCAGACTGCTGACTACAAACACCTGCAAGGGAGGCGAGTTGTCTGCACTGCTGCAATGCAACTGCAAGACTCAGCACCGTCACAGCACTGTAGTGGACATTTACATTTCCGTCATTGGAATGCACAGTTCACATTCACTAATCTATGTGTGCTCTGATGTTTAAAACATCAGTGCAGTGTCGGAGCATAAATATCCTGTTCCCTAAATCCTGCAAATTAGTCATAAAATGTAAGCTCTGCTGCCCATGGAGTATAATGCTGTTGTCCTCAAGAGATATGAGCGCTCTATCATACTCCATAGCCAGGTGTCCTGAGAGATATGAGCGCTCTATCATATGCTATAGCTAGGTGTCCTCAGAGAGGTGGGCGTTCTATCATACTCCATGGCCAGGTGTCCTCAGATTTATGAACGCTCTAGCATACTCCATAGCCAGGTGTCCTCGGTGCTATGATTGCTCTATCATACTCTGTTGCCAGGTGTCCTAAGAGATATAGAGAGAGAGAGAGAGCGCTCAGAGATAGGGGCACCCTGTTATGTTCCATGGCCAGGTGTCCTCAAGACATATAGGCAGTCTTTTATACTTCAAGGCCGGGCTTCCTGAGAGATACGGGTGCTCTGTTACACTCCATGGCCAAGTGCTTACATGCGGGAGATACAAAAACAGGGATTCACAGGATGGTGGGGGTAGGACAGAAAATGTAGGAGGCATTAAGTCAGAGCTAAGGTCTGTTATTATTATTATTAAGAGGAGGTAAGTCTGAGCTGAGTTCTGTTGCTGCTATTATTATTAATAATAAGAGGAGGTAAGTCTGAGCTAAGGTCTGTTATTATTATTAATAAGAAGCGGTGAGCCTGAGCTAAGGTCTGTTGTTATTATTAATAATAAGAGGAGGTAAGTCAGAGCTAAGGTCTGCTATTATTATTATTATTATTATGAGGAGGTAAGTCTTCGCGGTATACTGAGCCTAAGCTAACGGGAGGACGCTAGTTTGTGTCCTCCTGTTACCCTAAGGAGAACTATGGGGAGACGCCTTAACCCCATAGTTCTCCTTTTAAGAGGAGGTAAGTCTGAGCTAAGGTCCATTATTATTAATAAGAGGAGATAAGTCTGAGCTGAATTCTGAAATATTTATTTATTATGCATTTGTAGAGGTGGGTGAATAGTGACTGGGATGCAGCCACATAGATGTCTATGATTCAAAGGTTTATTGTCAAGATAGAAAAATGGATGCAGCCCCCAGGAGCTTTTATCACATTTGTCATGTCTCAGGCTGATCCTTTAGTGCCACTGAGCAAGAAGTATAAAGGTTGAGTGGGAGGATGAGTATTGCAGCCAGGAAACAAGCAACTTTAAAAAGAGGCTGGTGATGGCAGCTATTTTTTTTCCAGAGTGAAGGTTCATTCAAAGCTGGTCATGGAGAAAAATGAGTTGGTGTTTTCATTTGATAGTTGTACTCCATGGTGTAATCATGGCACGTAAGAAAAAAGTATATCTGGCCAGTTGGATGTTTTGGGGCAGATCGCCATTACTCCCAATTACAGTTAGAACTAACTGAAATGCCATTTTGACCCAAAGCGTATGTATAGCCAAACCTTTTTTTTCTAGTTTGAGATAGAGTAGGTAAGGATGAGATCCCATATAGAGTTTCTATCACTGTGTCCCTGCTAGGTAGTTTCACAGAAAGTGATAGCAAATGTTATAGTTGCACCAGGACAAAAGTTAAGGGAAAATCTTCTTTCTTTTCATATCTTATTCCCCCCCCAAAAGAAAGGGTCTGGCTATATAAACACTTCAGATGTTCTGTGGTACCGGGTCAGACTCCTCACCAAAATGGCTGTACAATATACAGTCTGCCACAAACCGATCTATATCTGTATCCACACAGAGCATATAGACTTGAATCATGTATCATGTAATTGTCACAAAACTTGTCTGCCTCATAATTAATTAGACCCAATTACTAAATAGAATTATAGTTCTTCTACAACATATAAATACTTGTATAATCAGTCCTTATAAAAGAATAGCTTCTGGGTATAAATAAACAAAGGAACCTATACTGCTTACTTTGGGTGGTATAGGTTTACAGAGTGGGAACAAGTATTTTATTCATTTTCCACAATAAATATACAATTAATACAGACACTTTAGTGTAACCAAACCATCAACAATACTTAAATATAATCTATTCCTTATAAATATAACCAATAAAATTTGTGCAATGTGAAATATAATGTTATTGAAAATTCATTGATAAGAGAGCTTTGCTCATTAATATATATCAGAAACTATTCTTGTGTACTTAAAAGTGCCTTTGCTTAGCAGATTTCCATTATGCTATCAATATTCAATTAAACTAATCTAATCTAATAAAACCGCTATAAACCTTAATAAATAGTGCTCCCAAAATTAATAAATGAGCCCTATCATAGATTCTCTCATTATATTTAAAGCCAAAGTGATTAATTCCTTATGATTATGACCCAAATACCTCGTGTAATAAACAATGTGGCAGAACTATTATGAAGAATTCATCAATAAGAAAGCCTTTACCCATTAACTAGTATCAAAAATTATTTGTGTGTTCATAAAAATACATTTGTTAAACAAATTCCAATCATTCAGTCAATATCTAAAGACAATCTATCTAGCCCACTATAATCCTTACAATACCCCAATAAGTTATACACCCTACATAGAAGGATAAGCATAATCGTAGATTCTCCCTTATATTTAAGACATGGAACATCTTATTTTTATGAAGTTGAACACCTATGCTATTTTAAATGCATGGGTAACACAAGTTCTGATTAAGAATACAGCTTTGCCTTCTCTCTGATTCATTTAAAAAAAATTAAAAAAATTATTTAAAGAATAAAATATAACCACAGTAATGTCCACATAGGGGCAATAGCTCAACATACAGAAGCAACATAAGGGACAGGAATTCACAATAATAATATGCAACAAAGAACTGCTCAGAGATTATTAAGATGATGTCGGTTTTGTACCTCTAAGAGGAGGTAAGTCTGAGCTAAGGTCTGTTATTATTATTAATAAGAAGCGGTGAGCCTGAGCTAAGGTCTGTTGTTATTATTAATAATAAGAGGAGGTAAGTCAGAGCTAAGGTCTGCTATTATTATTATTATTATTATGAGGAGGTAAGTCTGAGCTAAGGCCTGTTGTTGTTATTATTATTATTATTATTATTAATAATAAGAGGAGGTAAGTCTGAGCTAAGGCCTGTTGTTGTTATTATTATTATTATTATTAAAGGAGAACTATGTGGTAAGCCAGAGGTATAAGGTGAAAAACAAAAAGTAGGGGGAAGGGTCTGAAGGGGTAAATAGGGCAAGGGGAGCAGAGAGGGAAGAGCATAATTAAAGGAGAACTATGAGATGAGTGATTTCCACTCACCTCATAGTTCTAGCCGACCTGTGACAATGAGACTGTCACAGGTCGGCTCAGTAGATCGGGAGGTGAGCGAACACATACCGGGTTCGCTCACCTCTTGATCCTGTCACGGCTCTCTGCCGTGACAGGGG